AATGCCACCATAAATTTAAAAAAAAGTTAGATGAATAGTATAACATTAATTATCTACAAAATATTATTTCATTTCTGTAGAATATGAAAAATTGATTTGCTATAAGAAAGACTTATACGTTAATGATATAATTAAGCGAAATTTGATTAAAATCGACGTAACTTTATTGTTTTTGTAATTTTTATGCCTTAGTCATAATCTCTTTTATCAGAAGCTTTTTCCAGAGTTTTATAGATTTCAACGTTGACCTCGTAAATAGGAAAAACTTAATCAACGGCACTGACTTAATCAAATGAATAAACCGAATGTTTTCAGCAGAATCCTAAAATTCGCAGAGCACTCTTTTGTGTTTCTCTCTCTTTCTCCTCCACCAAAGAAACTTTTGAGTTTAAGCAGCAAACAAGGGGTGGTTCTGCCAATTAAACGAGCGTATAAAACGCGGCCAACCTTCTCGGAAATTTAGTTGAGCATCAAGTTGGTCTTTGATAAAAAGCAGAAAACGCGGAGCGAGCGAGAGGTGAATCAACAAAACCGACGACGAATGAAAACAAACGAAAATAATATTCCTTGACAAGAGAGGCAGCTTTTTAATTAAAGAAAATTAAAGGCGCGCACACGCAGGTATACAAATAAAGCTCGATTCATTTGCGAGGCAAATATATTTTCGCGGGAGAGCCGAGCAGGAGGGAGGCGCTTTTTGTGTTTGACAACAAAAACGACACGCTCCAGAGGGTTCTGCGTTAAGAATTGTCATCAGAAAACAAAAGTGAAGCCGAGAGGGCGAACGACGGCGTAAAAAACAACGCTGTTTTTGATGTGATGGAAAGTTTCAATTCTTCTCCTTTCTCATCCGAATATTAAATTTCTCTTCCTTATTTCATTACTTAGAAAAATGAACTTCAGTAAAATTCAAGTTTTTCTTTAAATAAACGATAATGATATTAATAAATAAAGTCAATATCGACTTAAAAATGACAATAGCCACATTGAATTGGTCCTCATTGTCAGAGTGCAAAATAACTCACTAAGTCTAGAATCCATTAAAAATCAAAATCTGCTTAAATAATTTTTTGTTAGTATTACCATTCAAACATATTTTTAGATCTTTTTAAAGATATTGACGCACATATTATGGATATTATGAAGTATTATGAAGTTTCCAAGTGGGACGGACACGTTTGTTTTGAAAACTTTTGGAAATATATAATACCTTAAGTGCTTAAGTTATCAAAAAATAATTTTCTTCAACAAAAAGCATTTTTTAACCAAAAATACTGTCTAGATTCAAATTCCAAATTATATATTTTTCTAAGATTTTATGTGAGAATGTCTATATTTTTCTTCTCCAAGCAGTTGCAATTGACATTAATTTTAGCTTCTTGTGTGTCCCATGTCAATGATTAAATTCACAGTTTAGTTCATCTATCAAGACCGATTGTTCTTCTGACAAATATATGTATTTGATTTATTAATTATTGATAAAGTTTTATTGAATAATTTAAAAGTTACTGATGCATAATTCAGATTGTTTAAATCATAAATTATAAACAATTATATAATTATAAATAAAATACTTTATTTATAAAAAAAAATAAAACAAATAACCAAATTTACTTTGTTGTTAAATAAAAATTTAAATATTACTAACTTATGTTTTATTATAACCACAGTCTTATTTGTGGTACTATTTGGAAAAGTAATAATGTTTCAAAATTAATTTTAAATTTAAACTTGCGGAGATAAAACTTTTTTTCTTCATATTTTGCCACGAATCGAACACCTGCATGCTCACAACGCCAGCCAGTGTAATTAAAGTGTTCGTGTTTTGACATGTACAAAGAGGCGTGTTGTTGTTTGCACTTAAATTTGGGCATCAACACCGCCGCTCGCGAGCATGATTAATGAGCCTCGCTGATGTCAATTGTTGCAACACGTGGCGTCGCACGCGACCCCTGTCTGTCCGCAAATTAAATTCGGCGTGATTGTCATGTACACATATCCACGTGAAATTAATTTCATCGGCCCGAGAGGTATCAGAGCCTCGACTAATTTATGTCCCGTCTCGCTGGCTCGGATATTAAAACCGTAGCGCAGCAGCTCTGCGGACGAGAGCCAGAAAACGAGGCCGGCTTGCGGTGGGGATAAAATGCTGCGAGAGAGAGCGAGCGAGCACGCTTAATTGCCATTTTTACAATGCTTTTCGCACCCTCAGCCCGTGTCGAGGCTTAATATTCGCTGGCTCATTTAACTTGCAATAAATACGCGAGCCATTAGACCTCTCTCGGACGTGTCGAGGAAAACCATTTGCTGGAAAAGCCAGGGGTTGAATCCCGTGGCACTTTTTTCGATCAGGAAAATATATTGTATTAATTAATGTGAAAACCATAAGCAAATCACAGTCAATTGACTGTCTTTTCTGCTGCTCATCAAGAAAGCATCAAGAAATTTAGAGTTAAAATTAGATAAAATTGAGTGAATGAAAAACAGTGTAAATTGATCCACAGACCATCTTTCCTGACAATCTCCAAAACATTGTTTGTTAGGATAAATTAAGAGATAGTTTATTATTTTTACCACAAAATAAAATAACCTGAAATATAAAATGATCATAACAATTCGGCAAATAAACATGCTTATTTAAAAAAGAAATTATTAACTGGAATTCTTTGAGAAGAATTTGTTTATTTCCTGTTAATAAAATGTGTGCATTTTTTTTTAAGCAAATAAATGCAAATGAGGTAAAGAAAGCAAAACCAAAGCAATTGAAAAAGTCTACAACTGTAAATTTGGCTGTCAATAGAGAATGTTTAGTGTTTGACTTTTAAAAGTAAAGCTAGGAAATAGAAATTATGGAATATAATTAATTTAATTATTTAATAATCAGCACATTGGCAATAATCCTCTAAAGGCAATGAAGACACAAATATCGTTTGACTTCTGATCAAATTTTGTTGCTTCTGCAAGCTTTTTTAAATATAAAAAAATAAAAAACCTTCAATTTTAATTGATTAAAGGATAAAGCAAATTACTCTATGTGCAATTCCAACTTATAACAAATAAATATGAAATATGTTTATAAATTTAACATATTCGTTAAATAATTAAAAATAAATTATAAATTTTAAACATAAATAAATTACTAAATTTATGAAAAAAAATTTTATATTTTCTTTTTTATTTAAGTGGCTTAAAAGTAAATTATTATTTTTACTTGCGTGAACCGTAAACCATAATTTAAGCCAATATTGTTTCTAATTGCACATAGTCGTTGCTTTTTCCCTTTACAGGGAGGTGTATTTCGCAGTCCACACTCGAGTTGAGGCAAGGTACGAGTGTGTGCGCGAGTGGTGTAAGTACATGCGTCATTATCGTCACGCAGCTTGTTTGATATAATAGGAGGTATGCAAGCCGAGTGACACGTCACGCGACGTACGCCGGCTAACTAGGGTAGGTTTATATCAAGCAGGCGAACCGACCAACCCACCCTCGACCGCGACCACCACACTTTAATGTAATAAAAGTTATTACACTCGGCAGGTAATAGCTCCTAATTAAATGAAGCCACGAGCGTGTGGGGGAAAAATGTTCACCCCTATCTGTGCGGTGCGCCTCTATCGCTTCCCGCCAACTTCCAACTTTGCCCATTTTATATTCTTCGGCGCTCGAGAATTTAATTACACGTCGTCCAGAAAGTCTTTTGTCAGCAACCTCTTCTTTTTTAATTCAATTTATCGGTTGATATTAATTTTCTGCCCTCGCTTCTGCTTTTTTCCGCTCTCGCAGGATTGAAATTTTAATAACAAAAATTTCTTTTACAGCTTTTTTACTGCTCAACGCAACACAAGAGTGCCGAGTTATAATGTGTTACGGTGAGAATGGCTCATCTCACTTTTCCACGCTTGAGAAACCCTCCCTGCAAGCAAGTACAGCCGGTTGCATACCAACACCTTTAAAAAAAGCTCTGCTGCATAACAAACGACTTTCCTCCCCCTACAAAATACCTTAATAATATTTTTTTTTCTTTTATGAAATATTGCGGAAGTTTAACTTAAATTTTCTCACAAAAAAGTTGAAAGAACAAATACTATAAATTATGTAAAGTGATGAAAACTATTTAATAATTTACAGAAATGTATTGTATTTCTTGTGTTTTTGTTTATATATTTATTATTGTTTCAGTTTTAAATAAAAGCTTTAGCGCGTTAATCCTAGAACAAAAAACAATGCAAACAATTCAGTTCAAGTTTATAAATTCTGCACCACAATTTAAAACATAGACTCAGTTTATGCAATTCCTAAATTAATTTATTTAACAATTTCCCACAGGATTTCACTCTTTAATATTATAAAAATGGAAAAAATTTATTTTCCGTATATTATATTTTATACAATTCATGGTTAATTTATAGCAACATTCTATAAGTTAATAAATTATTTGATTAATACGGTTCAAAATTACAAAATCTTTACTTATCCCATGAAAAAATTATGATTTTTGATGGCAACCTGAATAAGAAAAGTGAAAAATTGGACAGCTCTGTCAGTCTGTCCATCTGATAAGATAACCACAAAAGATTTATTCAACTTGAAGACCCGTAAATTCAGTGAGAATATAAATATAAATTTCCCCTCGCGCTATAAAATATATGCTAATGAAAACAAAAGTCGCTTTCCAGTATAATTTATCTTGACAGTCGCTGTCACCTCTGATGGTCACGTGAATTACGCTCTCGGTTGATGGAAATAAATTCGTCTTTCTCTCGCCGTCTATTGTGATGTTCCACCAGGTTAAATATTGCTCGGCCGATGTCTGCTCATTATTAACTCACGTTCACCGTTATCAGACCTGTACGCGCGTCACATGACTACACACTCTGGCGCATAAATTGTGAACACGCCGCGAGTGCCGATGGGGACGAAATGTCTGCGCGCAATCACTCAACGTCCCCCTTCGCTCCAATTCCCACACAAGGTGGAGAGAATTTTCCAAATTTGCTTACCTTTGCTGACGCAAGCGTGACGCTCGAGAGGAGCAGCGATCCCAACAGGAGCAACGACAACTGGCTTGGCCGTCGCATTTTTCAGAGAGTCACTGAAACAATTAATGAATTGGTTGTAAATTATTATATTTTGATAAGGATAATTAAAATTAATTAATTGAGACGATTTTTGGATATTCTAATATACAAAATTTGCTGTTATTGTGAAAAGAAAAAAATTTGAGTATTAAACTGATGTCATGAAAAATAGGTTGCGTTACATTATCCATACTGAGAGAACGGTAAAAATGATACCAAATTCAGAATTTCAAGTGAAAAGAAAAATAAAACTGAATCAATTTCATTTTACGCAGATTTATCAATTTTTAAACGTAATGAAATTATGGAAATTATCATCATTAGATACTCCGAACGCAAAATATAGTCCTTTTGCCTGCTTCAATATTCCAAATCAATGACAATAAAAAAAAACTAGATCTTTAATACCCCATAACTAAAAAATTACGGGCTGAAATTCAATTTGTTGCGTACAGTTTTTTTCCAAAGTTACTTTTTATGAGCAACAACGATTAAAATTGGTCGCGTAATGGCGATGTTAAATTATGTTAATATTTAATAATTTTAGAGAAACCATTTGTTGGAAAGTTATTCGAGGAAAAGCTTGATTACTTAATTGTGGTAAATTTGACAGTAAAAATCTGGCGCTCCATATTTGATTGGACCTTCCGTTGGGGATTAGATAAAAAAATCTCAATTCTGGCATCGACACTCGGGGCGAGAACGATGTCCTTTTTTTTGCCAGCACAGGCTGATTTCAATATTGGCCGTGCTTTTTCGGCGGGTGTATTTTTGGGCGGCAGCCAGCAGAAGAGTCGATGAAATGTGTGTGCGCGGTGGCCGTTGGAAAAAAAGACGGCGCACGTACACGAGAGAGACCAATCGATTGGAAATTCATACATCAAGTAGCGCAACCCACACAAAAGCAGCGTGTATTTTGCTCCCTCGCCCGCTCTCGTGTACAAACACACGCCTTAAAATTCACAATCAGAGCCATAAATTCGCTCGCAAATTGCGCGCTTTTTCAGAGAAGCAGTCGAATTTATGGCGAGAGGATTTTTGGCTTTGTGCTGGGAAGAGCAGACTGGGCTTGTGCGGCGCCCTCGGATTCGCTCATATAAATTTATGTTTTCAAAGCACCGCCGCCGGAGTCGCGAAACGTTGAAATATCATACTTTGGAAATTAAAAACGGTTTTGAATTCCAATTGCCAAATGGAATAGATGAAAAAAATTGGAGTTTTTGCAAATCTAAAAATGAAACCACTCCAGTGAGAACTGATAACAATAAAACCTTTTTTTTTCAATTATTATTTTGTGGTGCAAAGGGCTTCTTTTTTTTATTTACTCTGTTTGTGAAAATGGGATGTCATTCTAAATATAAATTATTGAGACTATAAAATCATTTTTTTAATCTAGAGGAAAACAGCGGTTTTCGAGTCGGCCGATCACAAAAGTGCAACTTCCTTTGGTGAATTAATTGACTCCTTACCAGTCAATTTTTTGCTGTAGTATTTGGTTTAAATGTCTTTAACAGAAAACAAATAAATTAAATTATGATTTTTAATTAATAAAAGATGTCAATTAAATAGATAAAATGTTTAATAGCAGTTGTTAATGTAAAAACATTATTTTTAGTTTTCTACTACTAAACTAAAAGTCGTTTTTGTCTTCTTTTTAACAGTGTTGTTGCTCTCATTTGAAGTTTAATAAAATAATTGAGAAAAAAAGCGAGAACCGCTTCTTCTTTTTTACTTTTTCTCTCCGTAGCATCGATCCGTTCATTTTGCATGAGCACCGTTTTATATTATAATAAGAGGAGGCGCCGCGTTATTTTTTTTCTGCGTCTCTCTCGTAGACACGGAGCTCTTTTTGGGTAGTGATCCGCCTTGGTCACGCCGACAACTGTTCCCGAATATAAATGCTATGCTTTTTGCCTATTTCATATTCTGGCCGGGACGGAGAAAAAGACCGACGTCGTCTCCAAATTCTCCGTGAGCTCTTTCCCAGAATTGCGGCGCACGACCTCTATTTCAAGTCGGCGGCTCCAAATCCTGCATTAAATTTAACCAGTTTCGGTGACTTTTTCTGCATTCTCATTTTCAACGAAGGGATCAGATCTCGGGAGCGTGGTGTTTTTCTTAGCAAGCTCGGTTTCCAAATATATAGCTCTGAAAATATTTTGAATGAGAAGGTGCAGACAGACGGAAAAAAATGATTTCTCTTTTAATGAGGATCAAGCATTGATTTTGGTTAGGTCATCATTTTAAAAAAACAAAAAAATTCGCTTTGTACAATGACATTATAAAAACAGTAAAATATTATTAATTAAAAAAAATTATTAAAGTAATTGATATTATCTTTTTGAAAATATATATGCTATTTAAATTATAATGTGAATTTTTATATAATTTAATTTTAAATATTTAAAAAACATATCTAGAAAGTTTTAACACAACTATCAATCACCAAAACATTATTATTTTTATAGATTAAAATTGATCACGTCTCTATGAATTATAAATTTTACTACATGACGATTGTAATAATTGTGAATCATGATTGAAAAAATAATGTTTAAAGTTCTAAAGTCAGTCCTGTGTTTAATGGGTAAAGAGAAATATTAAAAAAATATGTAAATAAAAATTGAAATTAACTCTTGAAATGAACAATTAAAAATTGTACGCATTTAGACAAAAGACATCAATCATTGCGTCTACAAACTGGAGAAAATGTTAGCAAAAAATATGCGAAACGATATAACAAAAGCAATTTCTCTCAAGCAAGAGAGCGGACAAGGATTTGTGATTTCTGTGTGCTGCTGCTGCAAATTAGCAAAAAGTGCGTCGACGGCGCCGCCGCTCATTCGTCTCGTCCTCTCCACTTCTTCTCTTCTGGCAAGACGAAATCCCCGGCCCGTTTTCCCTGAAGAGGTTCTCTCTCAGCGAACGAACCAACGAAGAAGTGGCGCAGTCAAAACAAAATTGCCCTGTTTCCTCCAGAGATTTCCAAAGATTGGCGGTGCAAAAAGCGCGCAACTAATATAAAACGAAGCAGAAAAGAGGAAATTTATAAATAAAGTGGCAGGTTTTTCTTGCGTCAAACGACAAGCAATTTTTCCGGGAGCACATAAAAATTTCTGCCAAGAACAAATTACAAAACGATGGCGAGTTGATAAATGCGCGTTTCTGCTCGCAGCGTTGAAAAATAAGCCCGAAATTACTGTTGACGTTTTTCATTTCGCGCCACTTGTGCTCGGCTGCGTGAAATTTTTCCAGCCGGCTTTTCGCCTCGTGCATGACAAACACCTGCTGGCCTTTTATTTATTAAATTACACCGCTCGACCGACGGACTCCATTTCTGCCCGACGGACTCTATCTGTTCTCGGGCAAGACGTACGTGGGCTGCTTTTTAATCATCGAGAGAGAGAGAAACGCCTCTAATGCACTTGGCACATCTATATTTCATAACTCCCTGTATCGCTGCTCTTGGCATTTTAAAACGATGAGAATCTGCGCGATTCAATTTGAAAAAAAAACTACGATCACATCGATTGCATTATTGAGTGGCAAAAATTCGAAAGCTAAAATAAATCAATGACTTTTGTTTTCCTCGTTCTAGGTTTTTTTCGTATCAAAATGCTTCTAATAGAATAAATTTTCCCAATTTTTAGTATGGAACAGTTGATTTTTCAAACAGAACGGATTGTCATTGCACTTATTTTATGTTGACTATATTGATAAAAAAGCATTTTTTTATAATGCTCTTTGTCAGAAAAATTCCTTATGCTGACAATTGAATCTTTCCAAAATAATGTGATTTGATTTTAAAAATTATTTTAGAGAATATAACAAGCAATTTTTATTTTATTTTGGGCTTACTTTAATAAATATCCAATATTATTGGATCTTCCAACAGTATTTTTAAAACTTATTATTTTTTAAAATTTTAAATTCTCTCTCCTGTTAATGTTTGATTAATAAGTACAAATTTCGTTGGAAAAAACTAAAAAACTTCCAGCTTTACTTCTGTAAAAGGATTTTACTATTCTATTTGAGCTTTACAGAATAAGCCCAGAGGTTTGGTTTTCAGATCGCCCTCTTTAATTAGAGAAAAAAGAAGTATTTTTTACATTTTTTTTTTTTATTTTTAATAGTTTTTTTTTTATTATTTAAGAATGAAATATTTTGCAAATCAGAGCTTAAAAAAATTTGATCTAGAAAGGACCCGGAATTAAACCAAGAGAAAATAATCTAATAACTCCATTCATCATATCGTCAGGAACATGCTGCACGTTATTCGGTCCACGTCCTCCGTCCTCCATCTATCAAAAATATCTTTCTCCCTTTCATAATTTCCATGCGGATCCATATCGCGATGTGATGCAGGTGGACGAGCTGCTTTTTTACATTAAAAGCGGCGGGAGAGAGACGAGATGACGAAGGAAAAATCGTCTCGCGTGTTTTCCTGCTTTTTTTCTGATTGGGCGAGTGAAATCTGTTATCCCCGGGGGAAATCGGGCGGCTCGAGCCGGATGATAAGCTCCCTTTCTTCTTCTCATTCGGCGTAACAAGGCCGCCTGCAGATATTGGATTGATCTCGCGTAATATTTTTGCGGCGGCCGGAATGAAGTGAGTGATCTTTATTTTTTCTTCCCTTTTCCTTTGCCTCTCAAAAACTCCAATCACAAATCTCAAGTCTGAGGAAATAAAAAGTATATATATAAATGGAGAGGGCGACCGATAGGCAGACGGAGCTTTAGCGATTCGATTTGGGCCTCTCGTTATCTCTGCTGCTAGGTGGTCTAGATGAAAGCGACAAAGCGAAAGTTTACGGCGCACCAGCCAACGGCAACTTTCCGCTTTAATTGCATGCACACAAAATGAGACGTCGTCTTTTCAAGTCGTTCCGTGTTCGCCAGATTTTATTGCCGCGAGATTAACTTTTACCCGCCGGGTAATTAAGCAAAACGTACGTCTCGCATGGAAAAGGTAAGATTAGATGCTAGATTGAAACTTCCACCTTTTAAAAATTTTC